CGAGTTCTGACATTAAATATTGTCATTAATCAATGAATTCTTCCAACTAGTATCGCTATCTTCATTGTTTTGATCATTATTAGAATAACAAAATATAATTCACACGTGGATGTGCGCGTTTATCGAGGTGGAATATAGGATGTCGTTAGGAAATGTACGAATCAAACTCTTCTCGTCTACTGTGGATTAAATAACAGGGCAGACTTGACTCTCTAGCTTTGTTTGGTAATCAATCTGGGAGGAAAATAATTCAGAATTCAAAACTGGTTGTGCATGGGACTAGCAGCTTCACTTCGTGGAACCGGCTTGCTCCTAAAAGCTCAGCTGCCCTATAGGCCACGAGGAGTCTACACTAGCAGACAGGGAAACTAGGAAGAAGGTGTTGCGCTACTTTACCAATTGGGGAGGTCAGTATCAAAAAGCAAGATTCAGACAACTAGCACTGGTTAGGAAATATGTAAAGGAATTCCGCCAGCTGGCCGCTTTTATACGCATACAATATAAATTAGAACGTTATCTGTTTGGAGCTTCACCATTGGGCCTTTCCCATTGTGGATTTGCCAATTCGTCTGTCCATAATGTAGAGAATAATAGCTTGTCGATACTGCAAATAGAAACATCAGTGGAAGAGACGGTATTTGGAGTTAAGTGTAAATTTATTCATTTTCTTTGATGCTAGCCGCATAAAAAAAGTGGGCAACAGAAAATATTTCTTCTACGGAATCTCAAGTATGACTTGTAATAGCAGCTTCTATCATTAGGAATAAATAAAAGCAATTATATAGGAATATTATTTTATTATATATATATAACTTTCAGATTCATCGATCATGAGAGCACAGATGACTATTTAAACAGCCTAAACTTTTAGAAGCTTTTGCGCAAATGTTGCACCTGAAAGGCAAGGAGGGCATCAACATGAATTTGCATGCGTCTTGTTAATTCAGAAGCTGATTTGCATACTTTATGACAGTCACAAGGATTGATTGCTAGCTTCTTTCAATAGATCGAGTCTGATGAGACTTAAGTTGATTTTTGAAAGAGCAAAAATTACCCATAAACACACATACACATTATATATATATATATATATATATATATATATATATATATATATATATAGAGAGAGAGAGAGAGAGAGAGAAGCACATTGAAATTATTTTTCTCAAAAACACAAACCCAGTTTTGTATCCGAAACGCAAACAAAGTATTTGAAAAAAAAAAATAATGGATTTTATTTTTAATCCGATATTTTCATTACACGCAAGGTAAGAATCCATATCTTCTCTCCACAGCCATGGGTTAATTAGTGAAACTTATATCACTAAACCAATATTATCTAAAGAAAAACATCTTACAAAATATTTTCTGACTTTAGATAACCTGCATAATAATAACCCATTAAAAAAAAAGAAACAAATTAATATGACGTTTGGCCGTGTAGTCAGATTTGGCTAGTGAGACGGATCGAACCCTTTACAACAGCCGCATATACATATACACAGTGTGTCTCATTATTAGCCAAGTCATAATTTAGCGATATATGGAGTAAATACTATTTGGAAACTACACGTTTATTTGTTTAAGCATGGCGACACATATAGGCACAGTTAGGCGGACAGGCAGCTGCGTTCTGTGCAAATGTAAGCAATGTGCGTATGTGTATGAAATGTCCTAAATTTTGAAGTCTCTAATTAATAGTCGTGCTGCACGTTTGATGCTTTTAATGAGTCATAAAACTTAACTGATGGACAAAGAGAAACGTTTAATAACTTCAAAGACTGCAAAAAGGTAAATAAAAAAAGGCAACGCTATAAATTACAAAGATGATCGGTAGGTAACATCAAACTACGTAGAAATTTGTTGAAAACTTTTGATAGCTCTGATGCCGGTCTGATAATGTCAAGCTGAAGATTTTATTTCACCCATCTGTATCCCGTATTAAGGGAGAAGTTATTAAAAAAAATATTTTTAAGTTATGGAATTTTTAGGCGTTGTGGCAATGAGGTAGTGTCAAAAAGGAAAAACTACTCGGCCCTAGCCCTGTTGAAAAAAAAAAGTGTCCCTGATCACTGGAACTCTTAACAGAAATAAAGAAAATATGCTGAACTGGA